AGGGCCAGGGCAGGCCTCCAAAGCAGAGACAGAGCCTGGAGGTGAGCAGGGCACCAGGTGCATTTGGGGGGAGCACAGCTGGGGTGGAGCCAGGAGAAGCCATGGGGGGCTGTAAAAAATGTGGGGGCAGAGAGACCCAAAGAGTGTCAAGCCTGTGATGCCAGACACTGCAAACAGCCCAAGCTGGCATTAGCAGGAGCTCCCTTCCAAGTGCAGATACCAGGGGTGCTTGCACGCGAAGGCCTGGTGAGAGTGCATGGAGACGGGGCTCCCTGCCTCCAAAAGTGCTGACCCGGCTGCATCATAGGACCGAGCTGACAGACCGTGATGAGCTGGGCTGAGGCCGGCATGTGAGCTCCCATGTCCACAGCTGCATCCACGTCATGTGTCAGCTGAGTAACGGGATGTTGCAGCCCTGACTGTCCTGGCTCAGCGAGCTGCAGAGGACTTGCCCAGGGAGACTGGAGGAGAGGGGCTCCCTGACACCTGAGCCGGGCCCAGTGCAGAAGGGACAGGGCAGGCCTCCAAAGCAGAGACAGAGCCTGGAGGTGAGCAGGGCACCAGGTGCATTTGGGGGGAGCACAGCTGGGGTGGAGCCAGGAGAAGCCATGGGGGGCTGTAAAAAATGTGGGGGCAGAGAGACCCAAAGAGTGTCAAGCCTGTGATGCCAGACACTGCAAACAGCCCAAGCTGGCATTAGCAGGAGCTCCCTTCCAAGTGCAGATACCAGGGGTGCTTGCACGCGAAGGCCTGGTGAGAGTGCATGGAGACGGGGCTCCCTGCCTCCAAAAGTGCTGACCCAGCTGCAGCCATAGGACCGAGCTGACAGACCATGATGAGCTGGGCTGAGGCCAGCACATGAGCTCCCATGTCCACAGCTGCATCCACCTCGTGTGTCAGCTGAAGTCTGGGCAATATGGCATGCCTACCTATCATGGCTAAGCCTGCAATAAGCTGTAGTGCAGAGTGATTGCAGACAGGGCCTTTACCAAGCCCTCGTTTCCCTGGGTAAGGCAGGCTCTGGTTCTTGCTTCTCTGTGGAGCTGTGCGGACTCTGATGTTTTGTATTCATCTGCTTGTGTTTCAATAGTCTCATCCCCATGCACTTTTGGATGGTGGTTTAAATGCACAGAGTGGGGGTGACTGGCTAGACAGCAGAAAAGGACCTGGGGGGGCAGTGGACAAGAAGCTGACTAAGAGCCAGCAGTGTGTCCTTGTTGCACTGTTGAGGTCACATCTGGAGTCCTATGTCCTGTTTTGAGCCCCCCACTATAGAAAGGATGTGGACTAATTGGAAATGTTGTATGAGTGTGGGTGGCAAATTGGCTTAGCGGTCACACCCAGAGAGTGGTAGTAGACGGGTCGGTATTGACTAGGAAGGATGTTGGTAGCGGGGTCACACCGGGTTCAGTTCTTGGACCTATACTCTTCGATGTCTTCATCAGTGACTTGGATGTGGGTGTGAAGTGTACTCTGTTCAAGTTTGCGGACAATACTAAATCGTGGGGTGAATTGCACATCCCGGAGGGTAGAGAACGATTGCAGGCGGACCTGGAGAGGTTAGAAAAGTGGGCAGTGCACAGTAGGTTGCAGTACAATGAGGACAAGTGCAGAGTGCTGCACCTAGGGCGCAAAAATATCCGGCACATCTGCTGGGTGGGGAGTGACCCTCTCAGCAGCACAGAAATGGAAAGGGATCTCGGAGTCATAGTGGACTCCAAGATGAACACGAGTCGTCAGTGTTGGAGGGTCTCCTACAGTGCCTTATGTTTCCTAAATACCCATCCTCCCTTGTCCATCAAGGCTCCAGAAAAAACCTTGAGTTTGTTCCCCAAATCCTGGTTGGTTATTCTGCATTCAGTACGCAGTCACTAACCCTCCTTAACCACTGCTCCAAACAGGATATCGAGGTCCTACACCTGCCTTAATCAGCAGCATGCAGCAAGGACAGGTGGAGCTCTGGGGCTGTGACGATGAGGCCTGTGGAAAAATCTCAGTGTCAGAGGAGCTGCTGCTGGGTGAGTTGTCTGTCCCCTGCACCCGACTCCGCTCTCAGAAATGCTCCATGCCCAGAGTGTCAGGGGCCTGGGGACTGCAGCCCTGCCCTGTGCTGCCCTTGCAGGGCGCTGGCCTCAGACACGGCACATTGCCCTGTAATGTGTCCAGGCAGGTGTTGTTCCCGCTCTTAGAAATTCAACCATGTGGAGACAAGCGGCTGTTCCCTTCTTCTCCCTCTAATGGCAGATGTTAGGGGACAATGATTTTGCTGTCTTGATTTTTCGGCACAGATCTGGTTTCCCTGGGATACCGTGATCTTGAATTTCCATCTTTGCTCAACAGTCTTAAGAGTTCATTCCCCAGCCCAAGGTAGCTATATGTCTTTACTACCTTCTTCCAGGGCATGATGGGATTTGTAGTCCCCCATGGAAAAACAGCATGGTGTGCAGAGGCTCTGTGTAGCCGTCAGTGTTGGAGAAAAAAGAAGCCGAGTCTCTCCCTGGCTTCTCCTGATCAGGCTGACCGGGAACCCAGAAGTGTTTCATCCTGGTCTCAGGCTGCATGACATGGGTGGGATTCAGAAGCTTTCAGGTTGTGGGGGGAAGTGAATCCCATGTTTTGCTCCAGAATTTCCCCCTTTTGTGTTTCATCTCCTGGGGCCCTGAGTGTCAAGAAGCCTGAGATACCACGGAGTCCAGGTTCAGGTTCATGCCAAGGCCTTAGACCCATTGCAGACTCCTGTGACAGGGAGGCCACCTGGGACCCATCAGCAGAGGAAAGCTTCATGGGCTTATTCCCTGCATCAGACCTTGCCCTGGAGGCAGGCAGGAAGCACAGCCCTGCTCCTTTCAGAAGAGAGAGCCACGGCTCTAAGTCCTCCCCTCCTCCTCAGCCCATTGCAACATGAAGCTATTCAGGTAGTGTCCTAACACACGTGTCCCACATGTGCTTCTCCTAGCAGACTCTGAGATGATGGAGCTGACAGGTCGGCCAGAAATGGAGAGTCTGGCTCTGAACTGCACCAAATAGGAAACATTAGTCTGGCACAGGGACCTGCCCTTCCCTCACCCTCTGCACTTGGGGCTTTGGCAGGAGGACCTTGTTTTCTTGGGGGAACACAAGTGCCAAGGTCCAGACCTGCTCTGAGGCCCATCCCAGCAGAACGAATAGCAGTGTTTGCCCCTTGCCAGCAGAGTAGGGGCCAATCTAGAGTTTCTCTTCCCCATGCAGGAGGTGCCTGGCTGCTGGGCAGAGCCGAGGAGCAGACTCCTGCGGAGGGCCCTGCAGACCTGGAACCATCATGGACTTCTCCAAGGAGTTTGCATGACATGGACCCCCCGAGACCTGGGAAAGAGCAATGGCACAAGAGTCCAGGGAGGCTCCAAAAGTGGAAGGCAAATGTAGCAGTGAACCAGGTACCATCTCCAGTTGGGCGTGAGAGTGGAGAAGGGGCAGATCCCAGAAACAGCCCTGGATGCAGGGAAGAATTTGTGGAGCTGAGAGACCTAAAGAGCCACTGGAAAGAGGCACTGCATCCAAACCAAGGCAGTGGGGAGGGCCTCAGAGGAAAGCAGGAGCTCACTGCTATTCACTGGGGCACAGCCCAGCCCTGCCCTGAAGTCAGGAAAACCCTTGACTGCTCATCACTCCTGGCTCTTCACAAGGTAAGGCAAAGTGGGGGGAAGCTCCACATATGCACCAAGTGTGGGAAGAGCTTCACTCGATTCTCCAACCTCACCCGACACCAACTCATCCACACCGGGGAGAAGCCACATCAGTGCTCAGAGTGTGGGAAGAGGTTCCACCTGTCCTTCTACCTGACCAAACACCGCCTCATCCATACAGAGGAGAAGCCACACCAGTGCTCAGAGTGTGGGAAAAGCTTCAGGCAGTTCTCCGACCTGGCCCAGCATGGGCTTATTCACACAGGGGAGAAGCCACATCGGTGCTCACAGTGTGGGAAGAGCTTCACCCGATCCTCCAGCCTGACCCAACACTGGCTCATCCACAGCGGGGAGAAGCCACACCAGTGCTCAGAGTGTGGGAAGAGGTTCAACCTGTCCTCCACCCTGATCAAACACAAGCGCACCCACACAGGGGAGAAGCCACATCAGTGCTTGGAGTGTGGGAAGAGATTTACCCGATCCTCCTATCTGACCAAACACCAGCTCATCCACACAGGGGCGAGGCCACATTGCTCATAGTGTGGACAGAGCTTAACCAGTTTTTCCCCCTCGTCTCTAGTGGGCAAACTGAGTTATGCTCAGGCTCTTAGTGTAACCTTAGGCCTTCCTGGATCTAAGCAATTAAATTGTATGGAATGCCTCACTAGGAAAACTGAGTGCTGTGGTTAGCCCACTGTACCAATCAAGTACAGTAGTTTCCCTAGGAGGAAAGAAAACCAAAACCAGAATAGAATTGGAGTACCTTATCTAACAAGATGAGGTAAGAAACTCGAGGATTGGGCAGTTTGAGATGAGAAAGTTACAAAAGTAGTGGACAAACAAAGAGACTGTGTGTGTGTGTGTGTTTCCACCATGGGGAGGCTGGAGCATCCTTGGACTTCTGGCTTTGAGTAACAAGGAATCCATCAACTAACATCCCACACACGCAGCAGAGGATCTGAGGCCGGTACCACCGAAGGTCAGTGATGTAATGTTTAAGGAACCGCTTGCCCGGTCGTATTTCAAGGATAATTATCTTGTAATAAGCCGAGGGGTTACTAATAAAATTCAGTTGATACCAAGTCAGCTGTGTCAATCCTTGTTGGTCTCTGGTAAAAGGAGTCCTGGGGCAATGTGGTCCAGGACCAGGTCGTTCACACAAAAGAGTGAGTGCCGAGACAAATGGGAAAAGCTCCACCCAATCCTCCGACCTGATTTGGCACCAGCTTGTCCACAGAGGTTAGAAGCCACATCGGTGCCCAAATCAAGGGAAGACCTGGGGTGGGCCAGTAGGGGGCGCTCCTAAAATGAGCCATCTGCCTTCCTGCGTTTGACCAAAACCATGCTTCAGGTGCCTCCCCTGGGGTGCTTACGTCCGATCAGGTCCCTTCCTGAAGAACACCCGCAAGCTTGGGATAACCGCTGCCACCCCCCAGGCCCTGGTCTTCGTTAGGGCTCTGTGCCACCCAGGTTGCACAGACCCTGTTGACCTGAGGGGTGTTTAGCCCACCGTGATATTTTGGGGTGCTTCTTTTAGCCTGAGGCGTTCACTAGTAGCCTTCTGCACAGGAGGAAAGTAGAAAAGCCATATGCCCTCCTTAGCCAGCCGAGCAAAGGGGCTAAACAGTTAAGTCTCGCTCTCATCAGGGGTTACAGGAAGGCGTGCTATGACAGATGGCTTTTTTGCTCAAAGAGGGGGAGAGGAATACAAAACAAGAATATGTTGAAAGAAGACCAACTTGCGCAACACAGAATGGGCTTGTTGGCCATATTGATAGGCGTCTAAGGATACACAACTCTAATTTACTGGCTAAATTTAAGGTAAGCTACTTACATATACATCCAGGGGATTCTGGAGGCCCGTGCTTCAGTTTGTGTTTCCAAAGATGCCTCTCCAGAGGCAGTGCCCACCTAGACCAGGTGATCTGACCCTTAAATACCTTTTCTGACCTCATCACTTGGCTCCAGCCAGAAGCAGGCAATATTTAAACCCAGCTGAGACAGACCAATCTTTAAAAGACGTCACCATCCCCAGGTGTAGGGCCCAGCATCACCAAATGGGCCTGGCAGGGAACTGAGACAAAGGGCCTCTGCACCACAAGGAGGGAGAGGGGAGGTCTCAGGCCAGGGGACAGAAAAAGCAGAGGATTCCTTCACACCTTCAACCTGTCCTCCAGTCTGACCAAACACCGGCTCATCCACTGATGTGGCAGGGAAAAAGCCACATCAGTGCTCGGAGTGTGGGAAGAGCTTCCCCCAATTCTCTCACCAGTCCTGGCATCAGCTCAGCCACACAGAATAAAAGCCACATTGGTGCTCGAAGTATGGGAAGAGCTTCCCGCACTTCTCAGAACTGGCCCAGCACCAGTGCATCCAACTCTGGCAAAATCATGGATGCTCCCAGAAGTGCAGGAAGGGTTTGGGGATGTCTACCTGCTCAGCACCCACCAGTGTCTGCATCCAGACAAGAGGACTCATACTTGAGGACTGCAACCATAGTTCACCTATCGTTCAGCCCTTGCAGGCCATTGCACAGCCCAAAGGATGCAGAGGCTGGTCCCCCAAATGTGATGAGGGGGAGGGGTTAAAAGGAAACCCTCCAGGCAGAGGCCAGCGTAGGTGTTGGGGGAACCTGCAAGATGATCTTTGCCTTGGACCTTGTGCCATCTCCATCCTTCTCTGAAAGCAGTCAGTGCTCCCAAGGGGAGAAGAAGTGCCTCTCCAGAGCTGTGCAATGGGAACAGACCAGGGCCCAGAACCCCTCCCAGGGCTGATGTGTCTGTGATATTCCAACCCCTTCCCTTGCCAGAGGATTCACCACGATCCAGGTGTTGTTTCTAACCCTCAGGGGCAGGGCTGGTCACACTCGAGGCATTACACCCATGACCTGCTGTGCAGCAAAGACCCTGCCCTTTTGGATGAACCTGTGGCAGGGGAGCAGAGTCTCTTTTCTTGGTCAAATGCAATAGCAGGGGTAAAGGAGGTGCAGCATGTGACAGATCCTGCCTCTTCGGGGGAAGGGTGGAGAAGGTATGAATGCATCCTGTGGGTCAAATGCAGCAGGTTGTCATCTCCCATTGGGAATACTGAGGCTTCCCCGCTAGTGCCAAAGCCATTTGGCTCCACGGGTGTCCTGTGGGGGCTACTCCAAGAGGTTAAATACAGGCAGTCCTCGACCTTCAACATTTCGCACTTACAACGTTTATAAGTGGACACCCTGTTTCAACTTTCTGATGTCGGTTTTGACTTTACAACGCTTGGTCTGATGCGACGCCGCACCAGCGAACAAGCTGACTGTGTCACTCGTCTGCCTGGAGAACATCTGTCCAAACGTCCTTGGACACTTTCTTTAAGAAAGCAGACAAGACTCCAGAATAACCTGCAGCCAAGACTCCTGAGAAGACTCCAGCCAAGAGCCCTTCAACAAGTCCAGCAAAGTCACCTCAGAGAAGTCCTTCGAAATCAATATGATTGCTATTTTCAATATAAATACATGAATGTAGCTATATTACTCATCAATAACTGATCGAGTACAGAATTCTGGGTTAGTTTTAGTAAAAATATATCAGGCCTTGGTTCTGGAATCAATCTCCCATTTACAACATTGTTTCTTATGAGAAAATTGGTTCCGAGTTACAATGTTTCGACTTAAGACTTGGTTTTCAGGAACCACTTGTGTCATAAGTCTGAGGACTGGCTGTACTCACCCTGGAGCATGTGGCAGGAAGCCACCTTTGCTTCTCCCCCAAAAACTCTGCTCTGTGACAACTGTGATTAGGATGGGCCCAGCAGAGGATACACACCTTTACCCCATCTCACTACAGGAGCAAGGCAAACATGAGTAAGTACAAAGTTAAACATCTCTCATGCCTCAATCCTATGAATCTCACCTTCCCTTACTAACTGCATGAGGCATGACCAATTATCTAGTGCCATTTATCAGGGTCCTATGCGTTTCCACACTTCACCAGAACACATTTTTGTGATAGTGCTTGTGGCAGAAAGCCACCTTTGCTTCTCCCCCAAAAACTCTGGGGAGTTGTCTGTGACAATTTTGATTAGGATCTGGGCCCAGCAGAGGATACATACCTTTACCCCATCTCTTTGGGTAACCTGAGCTGGATACATTCCTGAGGGAGGGGGGAAACCTGCTCCCTCTGCCTAC